GTCCGTAAGTGATTTGTTATAGTAGAACGGTTCGAGAAGGGCGTCGAAAGGATCTCTATAACGGTAGGTCGGTCCTGAAGGCTCATCCGCGCGATCATCCTTCTCAACGTTCTCCGCGGCCGGCGCTGGGTTTGTAGGTAGTTTCGACTGAATAGAACGTCTTCTCTTGCTAGAAGCGTCAGTAGACCCTTTCCTAGAAGGAGCTGCAGACTGTTTGCATCCAATATAAATCGTTAGCACAAACAAGGATACTGAAGACGATTGTGCGGAGAAACTTTTGCCATACCTCTGAAGGCTGCGCAGATCGCGCCTGACTGGCCGCAGCGGGCTGTGGCCTCCTACGAGGAGGCATTGACGCAGTAGAGATACAAGATGCTGCGATATGGCTGTGGTGAATGACGAGTTTAAAAAGAGAAGCCTATTGAGGAAATATCATGGTGTCTCGGAAATGTTCGCTGGGCAATTTCTTATCGTCGAGGGGAAGATCCGAAATCCGCATTAGAAATTCCATGTAGAGCGGAGGGGTGGGTTATGTAAGCAGAATAGCTATCCACAAAAGGCTAGCCTGAGGCAAAGCTTTACAAACTTGGTGCTAACCAGATATGGCTGGATATTCGGCTACAGCAGTGGCTCTCTTATAGTTCCACTATGATGCAACATTGGGAAATTTCAAGATGACTCGCTTTTGCCTTTCTGGATTCCCAACGGAGACCTGCAATGGAGAACACCTTCAATTTGTAGCGGGCATGCAATTTGTCTACTACTACCCTAACCATTGGACAACTTGAAACAATGTTAGACCTGGCTATCGTGACTGAACACTAAGGAAAGCGAGGCTCCATCAAATGGTCTCAAGTGGGAAGTATAATTGTGAGACCACTGCATAACAATGTCTTCCAGAAATGCTACAGTGGTGCTGCAGAAGGGCATGAAATGGTATGCAGGGAGAGAAATCGAGCCTAGACAGTTTCAAGGGTTGTTCTTCTCATGCTGTGTTGAGACCCTTTGAAGCGAGACCACTGGTTGGAGTTAGTCTTATGCACGATCAATAGAGTGGCTGGTGGTAAGCTTACCGAAGTCCTCGAGAGATCTCTGTTTCACGCTTCGGCTAAAGCTTTTACCATTCATGAGATTGTCAAAGCCCGTCGAGCCCTGCAGCAGGTAATATAGACCACCCATGATGCAGAAAACACCAAACGAGAAGACCCAAATACGGACAACAGCAACGATCGAGGTTTGGCCACCGACGAACCAACCGAATATGCAGAAAAATGTAGCGACGAGATCGACAGCTAGAATGGCTCCTGTCAATTGCCAAGAAGGAATTGATGACCAGAAGGGCCCGTTCGCGCGGGTGATGAAAATGAGCCAATTCTCGGTCAGTGATATCTCTAGGAACAGGACCTCGTCGCGTTCTCCGAAATTCTGGATGATGCCACCTTCTTCGCCACTGTTCATGATAGTGGTAAGCGCAACCCACGTCCCTGCGGCAAGTACAAGACCAAGAAGAATAGACATGCCCCATAGCTTGGGGAGGTTCCACTTCACAGGGGTCTTGGAGTACGGGGCGTTATCGTAGGCAATGGCAAGTGTGGCAATATCAGCAAAGATGGCGATGAACACAACGAGCTGTAGGTTGAGACTTTCATTCAAGATTGCAATCCACAAGCCCAGAAAAATCTCGAGGTGCAACGACAAGGCTATCCGATACACCACATATGCATACATGCGGTGAAATATCTGACGTGAAGTCTTCAATGCATCAATTATGGCAGACAGGCCGGGAGCAAGGAAGACAATATCAGCAGCAGAGCGTGCCGCATCAGAGGATCCTTCAACGGCAATACCAGTGTCAGCTTTCTTGAGCGAAGGAGCATCGTTGACGCCGTCACCCGTCATTGCCACAAGGTATCCACGTTGCTGTAGAATCTCCACAACATTGTATTTGTGCTGCGGGAAGACCTCCGCGAAGCCGTCGGCAGCTTCGACAAAGTCATACACCTCTGATCCAGGCATTGTTCCTCCACCTCCAAGACCGAGCCGCTCCGCATTATACACATTGGTGCCGAGCCCAAGTTGACGCGAAGTCTCTCGAGCAATTCCCACCGCATCACCGGTTAGCATTTTGATCGAGAGCCCCAGACTCTTCGCCTCACTGATGGTTTTCGCAGTGTCGTGCCGTGGAGGGTCGGAACATGGCATGATACCGAGGATCTCCCAACTGCCCTGATCGCGTCTGCGAGCAACTCCAAGCGAACGGAAACCGCGAGTTGCAAATTCAGCGACTTTGTTCTTGTATGCAGTATCAATCTCTTCTGGAATAGGATGGTCCTCCTCGACGGTCTTGAGAACGAACAGAGGCGCGCCTTTGACACACGTCATTCGGCGACCTTGGGGCGACTGCACTACAGCCGTGACTTTCTTTGAGACAGGATCAAATGGATGGAATTCCAGCACCTTGTATTGCGTAAGCGCAGCTTTTGCACGCGGATATTGTCTGAGCGCTTTGAAAAATGCTTTGTCAATGGCATCCATGCCCTTCTTCTTCCTCGAGGCGGCCAAGCAAGCAGTCAACATGAGGTCGTCCGGTTCAACCCCAGCAACAGTGTACGGCTCCGACAATGATAGCTTATTTTTTGTCAGTGTGCCGGTCTTGTCAGAGCACAGGATCTCGACACCAGCCAAAGACTCGATCGCCGATAATCTTTGCACAATGGCCTGTTTCTTGGCTAGGTACGCAGCACCTACCGCCATTGTAGTCGTGACAACGGCAGGGAGACCGACAGGTACACCGATAATCGTAATGGCCAAGGTGAACTCGAGTATCGTAATGATGCCATTTGAGCGGTAAAAGGACGAAACCCACACAACAAGCAAGGTTATGATGACTAGGACAAGGAGAACGGCGCCGATACCATTGAGGACTTCAGTGAAGTGACCTGATCCAGAGGATGCAGCATTAACCAATGCGGCAGCCTGTCCGACGAAGGTATAATCACCAGTGGCGGTAACAACAATTATTGCTCGACCACGCTTGACGGCAGACGATGCGTAACAGGTATCTCCTTTGTGTTTGTCAACTGCCAGAGATTCACCAGTGATCGAAGATTGGTCCACCTGAATAAGGTTGGCCGACACTATCCGGCCGTCGGCTGGTACAATTGTGCCCTTCTCGAGTCATCAGAGCTCATCCTTCATCTGAAGTTGGAGCTTTGGTAGTACGTTACCTCCTCGATTCTGACTATATCTCCAGGCACGATCTCCGAGGCGTCAATTTCAGTGAACTCTCCTTCGCGGCAGACAATTGCTTTGAGAGCGAGTGTTTTCTTGAGCTCATCGACAATGGACCCGGCCTGAAATTCTTGAATAAAGCCCACAGATGCGTTGAGCAAAAGAAGCGCACATATGACACCGAAATCCACCCAATCTCGAAGCCCGGCGGCTAAGATAGCAGCACCCTATGCTCACAGAGTCAGTCGCCATTGAAGGGATGAACATAAGTAGCATGATGGTTCATACCTCCATTACAAATTGGACAGGTCCAACGAAGAAGGACAAAAATTTGAGCAGAAGGTTTTCCTTTTCTTCCTTCATCCGATTGGGGCCGTACTTTCTCCGTCGATGCTGAGCCTCGATTTCGCTGAGACCTTTTTCTGGGTCTGTCTGTAGCATCTCATCGGAAACACGACGGGTAATGACACCTGTGTCAATGGCTATATCTTCATCCATGTCAACGTCACCATCCACTGTTTGGAGATCGTCAATGAGAGCGTCCATGTTCTCCTCTTCGATATGTTCATCATCGTCCTCGTCTGTAGGGATCGGCTTCTTCTTCTCATTGCTGGCCACAAGAGGGCTCTTGGTGTTCACACCACTGAGCCTCCGAACAGGTACTGCGTTTTCCTGGTTCAGAAGGGCCCCAAGAGGGTCCCTGCCGAACTGACCAACCATTGTGAAAGATAATACAGTAGAAAAAGGTAGACAGATTGAGACGTATAACGTATAGAAGTATACAATATGACTCGTGGAACAATCAACAATAGACCATAGAGAACCATCTGTGAAAGACAGTAGAAGCAGATGTTGACGGTGTCACCCAACCGAGTGATTACACAGCGAGGGATTGATGGCGGAAGGCGCAGACAACACATTCAGGGAAGGAACCAACCTTAAGCAATAAAGGAAGGGCCTCATCATCTCCTTCTTCGCAGCGTTCAGTCAAAGGAGGTAGCAAGTGAGGGTTTAAGGAAATGGGTGAGGCAGGAAAGGATGGGGAAGATGAATCGACCGAGTGTCAGGTGTTTCATTACCTCCTCATGAAGACCCCCTATAGCCATCTGGTTTCTGTGTCCAGTTTTCATTTATATCCTACCACCTGAATCTTCCGTCATTACTTTGAACTCCACATATACACGGTGCCTCCATTGACGATCTGGGTGGGGATATAGGTTCATCCTCAGCCTGGAAGCTAAATACTCTGTGGTCATCGCCAGCGACCGATCAGAGAAAGGGAGGTACGACCCGATGAAAAGCTTTCCCTTCATGGATCGCGTTGAGGAATAGTACTGATGCCTTCATCCCGCCAATTGGAGATCCCCTCAAATAACCTCTGCTTACATAACCGGGTTTCTGTTGTGGACGTCATTGCGGCCCCAGGGCACACAGCTGCCTCTTGATGAATCTATATCAGAGAAGCTTCACGGTCGGCAAGTAAACTCGAATAAAGAGATTTCCGGAGAGAAGTACATGCTTCTCTTAGAGTCAAGTTACAACAAAATTAACAACGCAAAAAATCCACTCCCGCAAATTTGCACTCCATGAGAACGCAATCCCTGTGGCTTCGGCGAGCTCAGCTCACCTTCACTTGATAATCTTCCTAATTAGGGTATATTCAAAGAGATTTCTCTGCATAAACTGGAGTCCTAATTCTTAGGTCATAGTCCTGGCCCTTGCTTATCCTTGGCTCGGCACCATGAATCGAGAAATTCCAGGGTTCTACTATGGTACGTGAATGTTCTCTCATTATGGTCTACAGTCAAAGGTTATGTCTGCAAGCTGGGGCTCTTGGCTGGAACTCTCATTGATCTAAACAGATCCCGACAAGAAGAAGTATTTCAAAATCCAGGCTAGCCATAAAGCCGCCGCAGGAGCACAGTACTCAAAAGATGCAGTCAAGAGGAAACGGGTAGAGCATGAGGTTGTAGACTTGAACTTAAGCTTCCAAAATGGACCACGGAACTGACTATTTGCTAGAAACGTCAGAGGAAAGTCCACCTCGCTCGGAGACTGGCAAAGGAGAAAATCAGAAGGTCACCGTTCGTGCGAAGTCCCCTTCTTGGAATTGAACGAGAAATTGGAGCGCAGCAGATATCAAAACCCTTGCGACAAGAGCAACAAGGTCTCACATATGCTAGCCAAATCAGTCGAAAACAGCTGCACCGATTTGAACCGTGGCCAAGTGATTATACCATTAAGCATGTGCTACGCAACAACCGCTCTGGAATCCTTATTGCCAGTGAGTTCAAGCCATGGCCTCGTATTTTCATTCCCGGCGCTAATTGCTGCCAAAGGTGGCCACCGTGGTGGTGAATCTTCGGTCTCGTAAGTTTGATGCTGTCATATACTGTTTGACGCTTTCGTTCATTGACACTTCCATCAGAGTATGCTTTCCAGACACCGACCAAGAGATATGGACATATAATCGGACGATGGAGCGAGTGCTCTTCCGAGAGCCGTACAGAGTATGTGTTTATATCGCTCTTCCCAAACGATTCAGTGATGTAAAACACATGCTTATACGCCATCGTACAATCTCAGCTCTCTTCTATCTCCTTGAGCCATACCGGATACTTGCTGTAAGTCCATATAGAACCCACCAAGGGATCAATCAACTAACAAGATTAGAGCCACAATGGATAGTGGTCCAAATGGCGACTCGTTTCTCGCGCCTCGCATGTTGCCTGACCTCGGTGAAGGCGGCGATTATCGCTGGCCTGCTTTCTGTACGTACATGTGCCCTGTTGGCAGTGTTTAGGGAGCGAACGTTGATTGACGTTCATCCCAAACTAGTCGCCCATCCAATTCGCATTCGTACTGAGTCATCCTTGTGGTGCTCGTCACCGTGTCCAGAGGGAGACAAAGCACTCTTCGCGATTGGCACTTCCGAAGGTCTGTATACTCTAGAAGGATTGGGAAGTTATTGGACTCTATCCAAGAAGCCGTTCGCCAGCGATGTCTCCAACGGAAAGCCAATCATCCATCGACGTACAGACTCCTCTCATGCACTTGTTACTAGCGTTGAATGGCTGTCTTCGACTGTCATCGCTGCTGGTCTGAAAGACTCAACCGTCTTCCTTCACGATCTCCGCAGCGGGGGAACTGCAACGCGTCTACAACACCCCCATGCAGTCACTAAGATCAGGAACCTTGATCCTTATCGGATCGTTGTGGCAGGGATAAACTCGGTACGCACTTCGGCCATGTCCTTGTCTTTGCATCGAAAGAATGACGATTACACTTTCCTCCCGTTTCAAAAGAAAGCAAGCTAATAATGTTATCTATAGCTTCAAATGTACGACATCCGGTACGCACCTAACGGTCTACAGCGCAATCCGAGACCCAATCATCCCCGTCACACTTCGACTCGGCCATATCTCTCTTTTTCCGACTTCTCACCGGAAATCATCCCGGATTTTGATATCAGTCCTGAACTTGGGCTTCTGGCCAGCGGTGAGGTCACTGACCTTTTTGAGCTCAGGCAAGCCTACTAATCCTGCGTCAATAGCTTCCGACGAGCGCAAGGTTCAATTGTTCTCCCTTCGTACTGGAGAACAAGTCTCTTCCCCTCTAACGAAATACCAATACCCAAATCCTATTTCCTCGCTACGGTTTGAATCGGGCGATGGATCATTGCATGGGCCTCTGACCCCCACTCTACTGGTCTGCTCTAGTGCTACGGTTGACGAGTGGGTTTGGTAGGTAGATTCTCCGGATATTGGCATTCCATGACGGATATTATGAGCCTAGAACTAGGCCCTTTATGTTTGGAGTCATCGCATTGTCATGAGTTATGATGTAACATCACTTCTGTGAATATAAGCCAGCAAATTGGGACTCTAATGAATGGACCCGTCTAGTCGATTGACAGTCTTCAATCCAATCCACCTGCTAGCCATTCACCAACTTCCACTCCGATCCCCTTGGCCATCTCCCCAATCCAATCGCCGGAGACATTAACACACCATTTCTCACCAGCATCAGAGGTCGTATTACCGCTGCCCGAGCCCCCAGCACTCGCCCCCATGCGACTAGAGCTATCCCGACCCGCCGCAGGCACGACCAGCCGCAGACGTCGGAGAGTAGCCAATTCCGCGTATATCGCGTCAGCTACAGCCGTCATACGGATGGGGTTCGCAGGGGGATTCGGATCGATAGCGTGGTAGATAGCTATTAATCGTTCCAGGGGAAACGGACGGGCAGTGAGGATAGTCGACGGGCCGGTGATACCGGGGGCGCCGCCGGAGGTAGTAGCGGAGGTGGTCGCGAAGGCGGACTCGAGCGTGGACTTTGTGATGCGCGTCTTCTGTCGCTTGCCCTTCTTGCCTGGGGTGGAGGCGTCTTGGCGGGCTGCGCGGGCGTCTTCGGCTTGTGCCTGGGAGAGGAGTTTCAGGCGTCGTCTGTGATGGGCGCGCTTGTTGCGTGCCGATAGCGAGGACGAGGAGAATTTGGAGAAGAAGATTGTGTCGAGGCGTTGCGGGGTGTGTGAGGCGAGGTAGGCGGAAGTGAGGATTAGAGTAGGGAAGTAGGGGAGGGAAGGGAGTGGGGAGGGGGCAGACGCTGCGGTCAGCGAGGGTTTGAGGAGGATGGAGCCGGCGCCGTTGGTCGTGGGTGCTGAGTCCTCAGTGACGATGTGGTGTACCAGCGCTGCTTCGCCTTGCTGGCGGAACAGCGCGCGGTTCTTGACCAGCAGCCGGGAGAAGTCCCATCCGTTGCCTCCCGGGGCTGTCTCGCCGGTGACGATTGGCGAGACGAACTGCGGCCAGAATTTCTCGCATATCGACCGGAAGGTAGGTATCGAGCTGGCCGTGGGCCCGACCAGCGAGTCGTAGACGGCCGATACGAAATGGGGGTATAGCTTCGCGGCGGTCTCCTGCGGAAGTCCGTAGACGGGGGGTGATTCGGAGTTCAGGATGATGGCAATGGCTTCTTTGCGCGTGTATGGAGGGAAGCTGATATGCGGAACAGCGGCAGACTGCAAGAAGAGAGGGCGCGGTGTCGAGCTGAGGATCAAAACGACACACAGCGAGGGGATCTGGTCAACGCCAAAAGAATCGAGTCAACAACCATCGTCCACAACACTTGATTCTCTCATAAACAAGCGACTTACCACCTCCCCAAGCCTAGCCAGCGCAGCAAGAAGCGTCTGCGGCGCCTCCCGCTGCCTATCGATCTCATCTAGCACAAGCACAAACTTCTCTGCCTTCTTCCCGGCATTCGAAGCGAGGCACTCGGCAAGCAACACCGCGAGCGTACTAACATGCTCGCACCGGCCCTTTCCGAACTTCTCCCACTCATCCTTAAGCCCCAGTGCCTCCAGCGTCGCCCAAAGAATCTTCGTCAGCAGATGACGACCCGTAATACACTCTGTGCTCCGAACAATGGCGTGCGGCACCGCAACGGCTGAGAGGACGGCGCGGACGATAGTTGACTTGCATGTCGCGGAGATACCGTGGACGACAACAGTAGAAGGACTAGATATCCCAGGCTAGGAGGCAATGTTAGTCCAGATGCAATATGTATCCCATTACTTGGCGTGGATAACAAGCTCAACGACATTGTAACAAACGTACTCCAAGAAGACAGGCGAGCTGCCTGGTCTGGACCTCACGACACGGCCATCGCTGGCTGATTGACCGGAGATTGTCCGCGCGGAGCATAGGGGTAATGGAGAATAAGTGAGAGTTGCCTACACTCCAAGCTCTGAAGCTAAGCAATGAGGTGTATCCCGTTCGTAAATAATGTGGTTGTGTACCTCTCCAGCTCACTGGAATTAATTGATTGGGAAGACGCGCGCGGAAGCCTTTCACATGCCAAGTCACGTGGATTCCCGTACCGCTTATATGTAGACGAGAGACAACTCGAAGATGGTGTCTTGTCTACAAGTTTGTACATGGGAAATTGTGATTGCAAAGAATATGCCACTTAAAAGTATGGGTACATCTATTCTACCGAATGTGCTATTGTGACAATCATGGAAGAAAACGGCAGCGATCAGAGATAAGACAACAAAAAAAACCTGAACTGGCAAAACAGATAGAGAATGTTGCCCGGGCCATATTTCCTTGCTGAGAAACGAAGCCGGCTCAGGGACCAGTCTCACGGCAAATCCAATGACTGCCCTGCCCGTGTGGTCGGAGGAGCCAGGCTCCCTAACCAGCAGCACTACCAAATCTCGATTGATGGTCCATATCACAAGTGAAAGGAAGGAAAATGCCAAAAAAAAAGACAGATCTGGAATGGAAAGAGCTAAAAGCACATGTGGGGTTCGTAAAAGATGTTGTATGCATGTGACGCAAGATTGCAGTAGCAGAGGCCAATATGCAGGATAGTGTTGCAAAAAGTACAAGGCATAATAATAATGCACGCGTATGCATCGTCATCAACTGCATCATATCATCAGGAAATAGCACAAAATGCAGATGGATTGCATGGAGGTAAAAATCTTGCTGTGGTATCAAAAGCCATGTTCCCCAAGTTGACCTTGGGTCAAGGTGGCCGTAAGTTCATCAAGATCGTAGCATCATCTCAATATGAGTACAGTGTGCCCAGCAAGAACTGACGACCCGGGAGACAGCGTAGCGATTAGAAGTAAGCGTACAGCTGGCTCTGAGCCCCGAGATTGCCGTTCGGCTGCTGAGCAGCAGGGGCATAAATGCCGGAAGAGTTATCGCTGGCACCGCCGGATGTGGCGTTGGAAACAGAGCCGGAGCCAGAAGCGGGCATGAAATTCTGACTTCCAAAATGGGGTCCGACAGTGGGAGCAGGGAATGAGTTGTGTTGATACAAGAATGGCTTCTGTGGGCCTTGCAAAGGACCCGGAAGCTGGGCAGAATTCATTTCGTTCGGGGTGACCTGTCCGCTTGTCGCGGCGCTTCCCCTACCAGAGCCTTCGGATGCCATCATTTTGCCGGCAATGCGGCGGCCATGAGGAGTCTGCCGGATGGAAGGCAGGATTGGGCGAATAGCGTCGACGATACGAGCTCTGGTTTCCGGGTCTGCGAAGTCCATAGCAGTCTGGACGACGTAATTGGCGAAGGAGTCGCGAAGCATCTTCTCAAGCTCAGCTCCTGCCAGCATTTCATCGATCATCTGGCGTCTCATCTGGAACTCGGCGGTACGCAGGCACTTCTCGATCACATTGGAGCTGAATTTTTGCTTCGACAGAGCCGGGATGTTGCCACGGAAAGCTTGGCAGAGAGGCTCCGTGAAATGAGGCTCCGCAAGATCCAAAATGTATTGCACGACGTAGTTACCAAATGGATCCTGGACCAATGCAAAAGCATTGGCCGTAATTTGAGCGATCAAACGGGCCCTCTGCTCGCCAGAGGCGTGGTCAATGCAGCGCTGCAGGACACAGCATCCGTGACGATGGGTGCCGACAACCACACAATTGCCGCCAACGGCGTCGTAGATGAACTGCGCGTCTTCAGCAGAAAGACGGTTCAGGCACTTCTGGATGACATGGTTGCCGTTCAGGTCCTGAACCAGCTCCACAACATGATCACGTAGAGCCTGGATGACCGTCTGGATCTGTTCGGGGGTTGAGATGAATTCAATCATCTTCTGCAAAGCTCTAGTGCCATGCTGGTTCAAGGCTATCTTCACAAGTTGGTGGGCAGCGTTATTAATTAGAGCGGTTCGCTGCTCGTCATTAGAGTACTCGAGCAGTTTCTGGCACAGGTAGTTGCCGAAGGGATCTGTTGGGACAAAGTTAGAAGACAAAAGTTTCTTCGGATGCAAGTAGAATAAGCTTCACGAACCAGTCATTAGCTCAACAACGTGCATATTAGTTTCGTCGAATATGAATTGAACATGTTCAGGGTTACGTTCCTCCAGCTTTCTCTGCAGATACCTACAGCCATGCTGATCTTTGCAAAGGGTGTACAGCTCGCCCCGATAATGCTCCAGCGGAAAATTGGTGAAGCGAGACAGTTGGTTAGAGTCTCCGTCACCGCTTCTGCGAGCAGCAACGCCTTTGGCTTGACCTTCTGCCAGTCGATAGTTACTGTAAGGAGGATAAGCACCGTAGGGGGCGGCGGGGTTGAAGTTCTGGAGTTGACCGTTAACCTGGACAGGGTTTCCCATGTATGTTTGGATTCCATAGCCGTAGAAAGGCGCTGGGAACGCAGTCATCGCAGTCGGAGTAACCGTATTTTGGTTTACGGCGGCAGCAGTAAGCTGTGGTCCAAAAGGAGGAGCACTAGCCTGCAAGGTCGTCTGCTGATTCAGGGAGTTCTGAGGCTTGGGCTCATCATGTTGCGCGGCGTCCTTCTGCTGAGTGCCAATGGAATTAGTTGGAAGCCTGCCCAGGTTGGTGTTGTGTTGCTGGAAACTCTCGGCATGCGCCTTGGGGGGCGTAATTGCAGGGTTGAATCCGTCGCCCTTGACAGTGGGAACGTCGTTCGTAGAGTAAGACGTCTGGAGCGAAGTTGGACGACTTGAGACAGCTGGACCCATACTTCCGTGGCCTCCCTCCTGGCTGTGGAAGAGGTTTGCTTCCAGGGAGTGTCTCGCAATGTGACGAGCAGGATTGGACGCTTGAGCGTGGCTCTCGCTAGTAGAGTTTCCGAGCTGATCAAGACGGAACATATTTAGGGCGTTCTGCGGCATGCTCTGGTGGGAGGAGCGATGGCGGCTGTGTGAGTTCCAAGTCTCTGGGTTAGGAGTACGCGAATTTGCTAGATCCAACGCGTCCGAGT